TCTACATCTTCAACTACTATCATACCTGCAACATTCGAACCAACTATTCCTTCAAGTACAGATATATTTAAGTTTAAACCTGCAGCCGCTAAAACCAAATTAACCAAATACTTCTGTAAGCCGCTTTCCGCTAAAAAAAACTGATCAATTAAACAAAACGCTAGTGAAGCTATTTGTAAAAAATTATTTAGCCTTCCATTTAATCGAGTCACCTGAATTGAAAGAGTTCATAAAAGAACTAAACCGCGGCTACCAATTACCTAATCGTAAGACATTGTCTAACGCCTTAATGACAAATGTGTATATTCAAATCAAGGAAAAAGTAAAGATAGAGTTGAGTCAAGCCGTGTATATCTGCATAACAACTGATGGTTGGACATCCAAACCCAATGAAAATTATTTAGCTGTGACGGTTCATTTTGTCAAAAATAATGCAGAATTAAAATCATTTTTACTAGGGTGCATCCAATTTAATGATAGGCATACAAACTTAGCTCAAGAGTTAAGAAGAATTGCAAGTGATTGGGAAATAACAAACAAAATTGTCGCAGCCACAAGCGATAACGCGGACAATATTAAAGCTGCAATAAAAACAAATAACTGGAAACAAATACCTTGTTTCGCTCATACACTCAATTTAATTGTGCAGACAGCTTTAAAACAAATAAAAGTCACTACAACCAAAATAAAACAAATCGTCGAAGTATTTAAACGAAGTCCGCTTGCCTCTGAAAGGCTTAATATGCAAAAGAAGTTAGAGGAACCCGTTTTAAAATTAAAACAGGATGTTCCCACACGCTGGAACTCCACTTGCGAAATGTTCGAAAGAATATTAAAAACAAAAAATAGCGTTATGAATAGTTTACACGGACCCAACACCGGCTGCCAAAAAGACTGGCAGCTAGTGCTGGCTTGTGTAAACAGTTTTTCAAGCCAAGCCAGCGCTGGCTGCCAACGCTGGTTTTCGGTTATTAGCCCATGCTTGCGACATACTAGGGCTACGGCTCGAAGATAGATATAGATATTACATAAAAAAATTGAACGTGCGTGGGTCGATTTTTCTAGGGATTTTCGGTATTTTCTAACTAATTAGTGAAAAAGAATCAGCTTAATTTCAGTATTTAAATTTAAATGTAATATTTGTAAACAACTTTGCTTTATAAATTCCGAAAAGACTGAGTCAAAAGTTAAGTGTGCCAGATCGTATGGATCGAATTATAAAGCTGCATCTGGAACTGCAGCAATTATCGGTAGAAGAACCGGTAAAATATTTTTTCTGGCTGTAAAAATTAAATACTGCCTCGTGTGCGCCTGCGCAGAGAACAAAAATGACGCTCCTAACGAGCACAAATGTCTTAAAAATTTCCATGGTTCCACAATAATAATTGCAGAGGATTTAAAACTTTCCATTTCCATGTATGGAATAATTTATAAAAGAATGATTGCAGACGGAGGCGCCTCGACCTACGCAAAAGTACTAAAAGAAAATCCATATCAAGGCCAAAATATTACAGTAGAGAAAATTGAATGCAGAAATCCCATATTGAGAAATTTATGCAAAAAATAACGTAGTGTAGTTTCAGAAACAAAATACCTTTTAGTTCACCGAAAAACTTTGACAGATGTGAAAATTATGTCTATGAGGAAAGCAATAGTAAGCAGTTATACACTATAATCACGAAGTTTAATAGAGAACGTAAATACAGATCTTGTCGAATGTTTCAACAATGTCATTGCGAAGTTTATAGGAGGAAAGCGAATTAATTTTGCTTTGAAACGAGGCTATCAAGAAAGGTGTAATGCTGCGGTGTAAAATTTTATGAAAAGTCAGCAATATCGTTTATAAAAAACACATTAAGAAACAAAAACAGAAGAGGGATTAGCTGAAGTTGTGGGAAGGAAAAGAGAAGTCCAGAAAAGAAAAAACAACTCAGAACTTCCAGCAAAAAGGAAAATCAGGAAATTGGCAGACACGAAACAAAAACAAAATGACTATGGCCCCACTAATTTAGACCCAGATATGTCCCTGTCTGAATTAGAAGTAGCTAAATTCATGAACGCTCGTCTAATGAAACCGAAGAGCAACATCCTCGTCGTTTTTCTCGTCGTCTTGTTTTAATCCAGGAGCGGTTGTCAAACGAAACCGTGGTGCAACGTACAGCGCGAGAGTTTATCCAATGAATCAGCTAAATCCAGAGCGACACGATTGATGCAAAAGCTAGTCACAATCGCAGGGATGTATCATCAATGCGAAAACATACATACTGCTATACACAGTGCGTTATTACCCGAAGAACTGGTATGTTTGGGTAAAGTCATAACATGCTCTCGCTGTACAAATAATATTAGAAAACGAAAAATTCCACCAGCAGCTTTCTGGAATAAAGTGACAGTCGCGACTGTACCTCTGGAGCTAGCTAATTTGACGAAATTTGAGGAACAATTTTTATGCCGTGTTGTACCTATACCATTTCTTAGAGAAAAACGGTTTTGTAGGTTAATGAAGCTTTTTAAGCGAATTTTTCTCAAGATTGGTGCAAGGGGCAAGTTACTTTATTTGCAAAAGACGTTTTTGAAATAGCTGAACAACTGCCTCTTAGACCAAACTAAATAGGACTGGTTCTCGTTGTGGAAAATCTCGAGGCACGCCGTCTCGTACAGAAATATTGAGCAAATGAACCCGAAAACTGCCTGCTATCGCAATTATTAATGGTTCTTACCAAAATATTCAAAAAAGAGCTATTTTTTTATTTCAGAAATGATATAAGTCAACTTTTACCCATTACAAAAAGAGATAAAAAATATCACAAATTACACGTGACAGAATAACTCACACTTTCACCAGTGTAGTCTTCAAACAAGAGAAACTTGACGATTTTGACGATGTTAGAAGTAGTCTAATCTGTGGCCGACGTGGGTAGGTATTCTACCTTCTTTTGAAGGACAAACTGACGAATTCCTATAATTTGGTTTGGAGGAATTCGTTTTTGAGGTTTTGGAGGTCCCAAATGATTGAATGATACCGACAGTGTACTCAATTACTACAGACAACGGAAGTAACTTTAAAAAAATAACCAAATTGCTATTAGCTCATTGGTCTACTAGGGCGGTCCGATAAGTACTTAGCCTCCTTGTCTGATGGCGCCATTATCGCATTTTTTTTTTATTGTCGTGTAATACATTCTTGCCGATGGCTACCCTCTAAATTTCAGTTCAATCAGACTTGTCGTTTAGTTTTGACAGCTTATGGCAGCGAACGTGTTTGCAAATTTTAGAACAATAGAAAAAGAACAATATCGGTCGGTGATTCGATTCTTGTTTTTGGAACGAAAATCGCACAGTGAAATCAAAGAACGCTTAGATGCCGTATACGGTGACTCTTCTCCTTCGATGGCGACAGTTAAAAATTGGTTTAAACTGTCAAATACCAAGCGGTCACCGGTGACCGCAACCTATTGTTCTATAATTGTGTCTGCAAAACCGGTACTCGACGAGTTAACGAATTTCGACGTGGTCGTACATCGGTTTTTGATGAGCCACGCCCAGGTGCCCCGAAAACGGCTACCACGCAGGACAATGTGACGAAAATCCACGATTTCGTATTAGCAGACCGCCGATTGAAGGTGCGTGAGATAGCTGAGACAGTGGGTATCTCAAAAGACCGCGTGGGTTACATCTTGCACGAAATTTTGGGCATGAGGAAACTATCCGCGCGATGGGTGCCGCGTTTGCTCACGCCGGACAACAAACGCAACTGAGACCACTTCAGAGCAGTGTTTGACGTTATTTAAGCGCAATACAAAGGAGTTTCTTCGTCGTTTTGTGACCGTCGACGAAACATGGATCCATTGGTACTAGGCTTGTGTAGTTCGCGAACGAACAAGTTCATAAGAGCGCTCCCACAAACAAAATGTGCAAACTAGTTCACGTCATTCCTTAGTTCCTTAGTTCGTTTAGTTCATTTAAAAGTACAAGGATCGTGAGCTGTGAGTCAGTGAGTCTGTGAAGACGTATATATATATATAGTCTATGGTGAAGAAAGACCGAACTAAATAAAGACGTTTCCCTCACTCTCTGCACATTGCGTGACTCATTCATTTGTTTATGGCACTAGTTTTTTAATTTTATGAATTTATGGTAGGTATGTTTTCTGAGTTTTTGCAACATTGAATTGATTGAATGGAACATACATACCAACAGTGTTGCCAACGTAGGCATTTTTCGCCTATTAGGCTGCTCAAATCTAGAACTTTTTTTAAATGTTTTAAGTTTTTTTTTATTTTTAATAGTACCTAGGCCAAGGGGCATGCGGCCATGCGTGTATGTAATGTTGGTACAATTTTCTGTTGCTGATCGCCTTATGAATGTAAGAGTAATGAATTCGTAACCATAATCCATATGAATGTAAGAGTATATATTGCAATAATTTTTAATTATGCAATCACATGGTGAGTTTGCACGCTGGTAGAAAAATGTACGTCATCAACTACTACTACCGAAGTACCGAAGAGGGCGAAGGCCTTATTGATGCCTTAATATTATAAGGAGAAGACAAATCTGAATTATACTATTTTGATTTTCTTTATTTAGTTTTTATGTTAAATGTTAACTATCTCATTTCAGTGATTTGTTTTAACGATGGTTTATTGTATATCTATGTATTATCCAACTTATTAAAAATAAAGTGATAAAAACTATGAGTGTGTTTTCCAATGAATAAATACTTTGTTGAGTCATAATAACAAATTCCCACTCATTAAACTGTCAAACACCAAGCGGTCACCGGTGACCGCAACCTATTGTTCTATAATTGCGTCTACAAAACCGGTACTCGACGAGTTAAGAACTACATTTTATTTTATTCATATATGTACTTATTGATATTTTGGTGTTTGGGCTACTTTAGGTTAATATAAAATGAAATTCGGCGATATTAGGCTACTTCATGCATGAGAAACGGCGACGTTAGGGCCAGCACCGTTGGCAACATTGCATACTAGAACCATATCTTTTTATCTGTAGAAACACCGGCTCCCGGTACAAAACACATTAACACATTATGGCCGCAACTTTCAACAGACTCTTTCAAGAGAATCTTTTAGCGGGAATCAAAACTCCAAAGTAAACAATTATTATTTGATTTTAACAGGATATATACATTTAAGTAAACACGTAAATTGGTATCATCAGTAAGTTATTTAAGTACCTATATATAAATAATATGTTGTCATCAGATAAATTAATTATTTTATTATTCTGATTTGATTATGTTAATGATTAATTAATGTTTGTTTTGTTTTAGGTTTCTTTTTTAAAATGTCAAGAAGAAAACATAGCCCCCTGTGGCTTCATTTTACAGAGGATATTGATAATAAAAAAGCAAAATGCAACTACTGTTCAACTTTGATAAGTATTGCGGGAGGGTCAAATAGTAATTTAACTCGCCATATGAAGACTAAACACGCATTGATTCCATTACTTGTAGAACGACAAACGCCGGTATTACCTGATTTGAATACACTTGAACCAAACCAAGGCACACGTGAATTGGACAATATAATTTCAGTACAATCAAGCACAGTCAACACCCAACAATCAATGAATCGGTATATTCGCAGACCGGCGCCAATTCGAAAAGTTGAGCAAATTGACAAACAACTGGTCAAGATGGTAGCGAAAGGTCATCATGCGTTAAGGATTGTAGAGGAACCGGACTTTCGTAAGTTAATTGAATTAGTTTCGCAATGCCCAGGCTACAAATTACCATCAAGAAAAACGTTAACAAAAAATTTAATGCCAACTGTACATAATGACCTAAAAGACGTAATTAAAAAAAAAGTACAAGCAGTACCGGCGTTGTCTCTTAGTACTGATGGTTGGACATCTAGAAATAACGATAGCTATATAGCTGTTGTAGCCCATTTTATAGACGAAGAAACTAAACTACACTCAGGATTACTCGGGTGCATTAATTATAATGAGCGACATACCAGCCAAAATTTGTGCAAATTTTTAAAACATATTATGATAGAATGGGACATTTCCCACAAAGTTACCGCTATTGTTAGCGATAATGCAGCAAATATCTTAGCAGCTGTCAGACTTGGCGAATGGCGATCTATCTCATGTTTCGCTCATTCCCTAAATCTTGTTGTCCAAGAAGCTACAAAAGTGATTTCTGACGTTTTAGGGAGAGTAAAAAATATTGTTGAATTTTTTCATCGTAGTACACATGGCAAATATAAATTGGCTGCTGTGCAGCAGCCTGTTTTACAGACCTCGAGAAAAATATTTTTCAGACGGGTTAAAAAAGCTGGAGCATCGCTGGGTCAAGTGTATTGAGTTAAAAGGAGACTACGTTGAGAAATAAATAGTCATTTAAAAAAAATTGTTTTTCTTTTGTAGGCTAAGTACTTATCAAACCACCCTCGTACAATAACAGAAGATATTATTACAGACATGAATAACGATTGTGATATTGACGATGAAAATGGATGGTGCTGATGATAATTATAATAGCGAACTTAAAACAGATACGCCACTGGAATTAAAGTTTGATTTATTTATTAACGCGCTTTGTGCGGCACACACACTACAACTCGCAGTTAAAAACGCTGGCAACAAGTACAACTAGAAAACTTTAGAATCTAAAGTCTTCAGTGATCTAAAGTTTAGATATTATCACCACACATACAAATTTATACAACGTACACAGAACAGGAAGATCCATAACAGTTTCAAGAGAAGAAAGACTAGATTTTTGGCAATAAATGTCATCGTGGGTTGTGCTATCCAACAAATATTACAGGGAAAAGTCTTTCCGCTATGCAAAGGGAGCAGACGTAAAGCAAATCAGGCGATTTTTACATTTTATCAATAATTCTGAAGCCGATACATCATATAGTTATTATAAACTACGACTTGCAATTGATTGGTTAACACAGTGTTTATCCGTAGAAGAAGATAGTGCTTTTAGTATCAACGAAATGGTTATACCGTACAAAGGAAAGAAAGCAGGAAGTCGATGTCGTCAATATAACCCAAATAAGCCTTGTAAATGGGGCTTCAGAAACTTAAGGTCGGTGCCTGCCATCATTTATGACTTCATGCTCTAGGCTGGAGATAACACTTTTAGAGGCATGACATTTACTGAAGAAGAGACTATGGGTGTTGGGAGTAAAATAGTTTTAGCTTTATCTAAAAGTATCCAAGTACTCAAAATAAAGCGAATGTGGTATATTTTGACAATTGCTAATTACTTCCTTGGACCTGGTACATATTATGTTGAGGGAAAATTATGGTATATTTACTATTTTTAATAGTTAAGGAACAATCAAACTGTTCTTATAATAAAAGGTGTTAATAAGAAACCTGAATTTCAAGATGGACTTCCAATGGGCTCAAAAGTATTTATGAATAAGAAATCTGCATATGTAAATACTGCGCTTTTCTATAAATGGCTACTAGAACATTTTATACCTCTGAAGCCGCACAGTAAGGTTCGGCTCATCTTAGATGGTCACTCATCACATTCAACTGCCCTAGATATGCTGCAAGCTGCTGCAGATATGGACATTATATTGTTGTGTTTGACTAGACATACTACTTCAGCTTTACATCTCCTAGACAGGGCAGTATTTGGTCCATTTAAAACCTATTAATCAAGAGACCAATTAATTCATGCGTCTAAATGCAAATAAGAAAATCAGCCGCCACAATGCAGGAAAGCTTATCCACAATGCTTGGCCTTGCTCTTGATGTATATAAATAAAGCACTTAAGACTACTTTAACTGTTTAGTATATGTAAATAAGTATATAACAAATATGATCAAATTGATACACGTCACAGACCGAGCCGGTGAGAGGAAAAGCGCCTACTTGAAGTAATAGACAAGACGCGCTTCGTGATGGTGTTATAATTAATTTGCTAGGCGTTAGCATATACTGTAAAACGATCGGATTATAATAAAAAATCTACCTTTACAAGTGTTGGAGAGATAAACCACAGAATATCTAAAGGAAAAGCTTTAGTAAGTTTTAACTCTTCGTAAAATATAAAATATATTTTAAGGACCTCCAATTTAAATCAACGGATAATTGACAGTCCAACTGGGTGGACGTCTACTTATCAAATGTTTTCACATGTTGTATTCATTTCAGATAATCAATACTCTGATCTTACGAGTATTTTTTCTGGTAGTTTCTGGATGGAAATCCAAAATTCTTGCCTTCATAAACCTGATTATGAGGCGACACTAGCATTACAACGCGAACAACTTACGATTGGTGACTTTTCACAGAATGGCTTAATTGCAAAATAAAGTTGTAAGCTATTAGAACCTCATTGGTAGAGGACGTAAAAATTTACATTTAGATAGTCACATCAACGTAATTTTATGTGATCAAGAATGTGAGAAGGCAAAGACATTAAATAAGGCAGACTTTCTAAAAGTTGCAATCTCTCACATTATCTGAGTCTCCACCCGAAATCTCCGAATTACTAGATGACTCTAGTACCAATCAGGCAACATGGTCAAACATTACCATTAGAAAGTTATTTAAATGAAACTTAAGCAAAAATCGTGGGTTAGCTGGGAGGTCGTCATTGAATTCATTTCATGGAATGTTAAGTAAATTAAGATTTGAACCCTAAGATTGGTCTTGGTCCCTCTCTAATGAAAGTAGTTAATGTAGTGTTTGCAGCTCCTGCAACACAGGTATCAGTGGAGCGGTTATTTTCATCAGTTAAGTTTATATTAAACCCTCTAAATAATATGTATAGTAATATATTCCTTCTCATCCAGAGACACAAACCCTGCGGTGGCGTTGTAAGCTGCCATATTACGACTTATAGAAGCTCCTCTCAATACTCTCGATTTACTGTTGTCGTATATGACTGCTTCCGCTGCCTCGAGTCTATCATTCAGTAACAGCTCGTTACCCTGCAGGTATGTCTACAGGATCGTTTTGCAAGTATTCTAATATTTATATAATACGTATAAGTATTAGTTTAGCAGTATACATATAACATATATTATATAGTATGTATGTCTATTCAGATTTATAATATATTGGAGTATTATATTTATTATATAGTTTTTATGTGTGTAATATTATTGAATAACAAATATTTCTTTTTTTATTGTGTTCTGGTTTCGCATCAAACGCTTCATTTCTCTACACTTCCCTATGGTTCACTGTCAGAGAATGCCTTAATTAAGGCATTAAATGTCAATTGTCAAAAGTAAAAATTTTGACATTTCGCGCGCTCTTAGCCAAACTTATAAAACTTTTGGAACTTCGATCGAAATTGTGACCTATCCAAAATGATAGCCAATGTGTGGATGGTGGCTTATTTTCTTCGCTGGTAAGTGATTGTGTCGTCCTTATTAATCAATAATCGGACCTATTTACTTAAAATACTGTGTATTAAGTAATGTTTACGAAATATTCCATGTACCTAAAGTGTTTGAGCATGTTCATGTCCAGCTCTTGAAAATAGGATTTTGCCGTACTCTCGAAGATTTGATACACAAAAGCATAAATATATTTACTTGTAAACTTAAATGACAATGGTTTTTGTTTTAGTAAAATAAATGAGTACCGCCGAGCGACGCGGCGCTCGCGGCGACTAGCTGCGGTGGAGGCTGGTGCCTTGCAGCTGCCACCAATACCCCTGCCGTGGGACTGGCACCCCGACAAGGCGTTAGCGCCAATAAACATACCGGTGCCGTCCTGGTGGAGGCACCCAAATTTGATTTTTGGTCGGCGGGGTTGGGACTAAATGAATACCTTTAGTCATAACCCCGCCGAAAATACACTATGAACTGTAACATGTTGTTTAATTTGCCAAATACCTATTATATACACAAACCTTAAATCTATATACATATTACGTCTTCTGCAAGAGATTCCAAACAAGTAGGGGAATGTTCGCTAAAGTGGCCCAGGCGGGTAAAGTAGTCACCGTCGTTTTTATGACCAACAAACTACCGCCATCTATCAACGGCATCTGTAAATACTTCGTTGACCGACGCCATTAGTACTCCAGTAAACACAGACACGCTTGCTTCGTAAAGTGATTTTTGTGGTCTATGGTCTGTCGCGGAGAACCTAACGGGTAACCTGGGCTCCGGCTCGACGTGCAGAAGAAGGAACGGGGTGGTTTTTAGTCAGTAAGAGTCTGACACTACCTCCCGCCTCACCCACGCGGGAGCAGACATTCGATGATTTTCCCCCCTTAAAAAAAAAAAGGTAAGGTTTAAACATTATGATATGTTACTGTGTCGAACAAAAGTTAGAAATAATGTAATATTTTAACGGTTTAGTCTGTATTATGGACTTGTTATTTCACGGCAAACGCTGACAATATAATCATTTGATTTTTGAGCCATTTTTTTTTTCGCTTTGCTAAGTATGCCAAATACATACAAACGGAAGACGCAGTAACAGACATGGAACTCGGAAGCAATGGAAAAAGCTATAAGAGCTGCAAGAAACGAAGAAATGGGCTACCTCAAGGCTAGCAAAGTATTCGAAGTTCCTCGATCGACGCTCAAAAGACGTGTAAAAGGAATAAATAAAGAAGCCGTTGAAAATAAAAAACTATTGGGGTCTTGCCGTCCAACTTTTAGTCCGGAGCAAGAACAAGAATTGTTGCATCACATTTTAGATATGCAAAAGCGATTTCATGGATTAACTTTACAAGATGTACGGAGACTGGCTTATCAGTTAGCTGAAGGCAATAATATAGAACACAAGTTTAATAAAGAAACTGAAATGGCTGGAACAGCATGGATTTCTGATTTTAGAAAACGTCATCCGGAACTGACACTAAGAAGCCCTGAAGCAACCTCACTTGCTCGAGCACAGGGCTTTAATAAAGTGTGACAAAATTTTTTGATCTTCTAGAAGAGTTTAGGTCTAAAACTAGCTACCCATATCATCGTATTTTCAATGTTGATGAGACTGGCTTTACGACAGTGCAGAGTAAGAGATCTAAAATATTGGCGCAAAAGGGCAAGAAGCAGGTTGGCGCTATCACCTCAGCAGAGCGAGGTACATTAAGCACTGTTGTAATTTGTATGGCAGCTGGTGGAAACTACATTCCTCCATTTATTATTTTTCCCCGGAAAAGAATGAAGGTGGAACTTCAAGATGGGGCACCACCAAGTACAGGGTTTGCTTGTCATTCATCAGGGTGGATGCAGTTGGACATTTTTACAGTATGGTGTTAACATTTTCTCAAATTCGCCAAACCAAGCTCTCCTGATTCTTGATGGACATAATACGCACACCAAAAATTTGAATTTTTTTGACTTGGCAAGAAAAAATCGCACCA